TCTCCCTCCTTTCCCCTTCTCTAACAATAGGTAAATAAAATCTTTAAAATAAATAAAATAAAACTAGGATCTTAAACTGGAAAAACTAGAAAAATCACACATGTGAAATCATTCAATACAAAGCCTGGACTCCATACACCTTCTACTATATATCCCAAAGAGGCAGCTCTCTCCCATTTCTACCTGGAAATAAACTTTCCTATAATGCCAGCCACCCTACTTCACACCTGATTCACTCCTTATCATCCTTCAGAATCCTTAGATATCATTTTCCCAAACCCCACTTATTTACACCAGGAGGATGGAAGCTGGGTCTTACCTCTCTTTATGTAAGTAGCTAATGTTTAGCGCCATGCTAAAAATAGCAGTCACTTAAAATACTGATTGAAAGAATAGACTTTGGCACGTGCTGAACAAGCCTTGGAAGAAACTGCATCCTCTGAGCAGTGACCACTAAAGAAATGAACTTAGATAAGATTTCCAAAGGAGAGAAAAGGAAACTAAGAGGTCCGTAATATAAGTAATCACAGTGGAACACCTTAATCTAGAGAGCAGTTCCCAAAAATGCTTCTTGACTTCTTTCAGCCCTAAATACCTCAACTATGACATAGGGATCATTATTCATACCTCACAGGTTGCTGGGAAGAATAAATTAATTAGCATACAAAAAGCACCTGGTATCCTGTCTTGCACTCAATTAATGTTTGGTCCCTTTTGTGCCTCCAAACCAATGTAAAATCCAGTTAGAACCTGCTTATTTCTCTGCAACTGCAGTTGTAACCGGGCACAGCCAGGGCCCCCCCGAAAGGGTATTTGTAACAGGGTCCAGAGATTGGGGTGTCCAAGAAAAATATATTCTCCCCACCCCAGGGCAGGCCGCCATGGGGGATGGGAGCCTTGAGCAAGGTCATTGAGAGTCATTTTGTCTGTCAATAACAAGATAGCTTCAGTCCTCAGACGCAAAGAGGGTTATTTTGCATATCACCAAAACTAATCAGGAAGGTTTCAAAGACTTAATAGGGAATGTACCTGGGAGGGAGGAGAGACAGGGACCTGCAGGAGAGACAAAGGGACACAGACTCTGGGGAACAGTGTGAAGACCATGCGGGAAGAAAGAGGGGAGAAAGGACTCTTGCTAGTGGGCCAAGAGAAGGTGCCACATGGTTATGGATTAAGAGCTGGAGATCGCGGCGAAGCAGTGGATGGTGCTGAGAACCGCGAGAGCCCTGCCTAGCCGAGCCCCGGACTTCTGTTCTTTTTCTTCTGAAGGACGGTACCCCTGACTGGCCTAACTGGGCAAAAGCGGGAAGGCAGGACGGTGTGTATGTGCTGGTGGTTGTTTTGAAGGGATTTTGAGGTTTAAGGATGACATTTAGCCATTAATCAAACCTGTATAACTTTTGAATAAATAGTTCCTTTCCTTTTCACCAAACTCTGCCATTGAGAGCCATAATTCCAAGGGTGGCGGGCAAAGGACTCACAACCGAGGGATCCCGGGGAAGGAGGGTGACGCTGTTTCGGTAATAGCATCTGGGCATCCCCCCCGCACAGGTCCTTTTGTTCAGTAACACAGTGACTATGCCCTGAAAAGCAATCCAGCTTAGAAAAATAATGGCTATTTGGGAAAGGGAGGGTAGACTTGTCAGCTGCTCTCCCTAAAGCATCATTTGTTCAATCTCAACACTATTGTCAAACCTGGCTGGATAATTCTTTGTTGTAGACGGCTTCCCACTATAGGGTTTTAGCAGCATCCATGAACTCCACCCACTGGGTGCCAGTAGCATCTCCGACCAAAAGTGACTCCAGACATTGCCAAATGTGCCCCAGTCGAAAACCGCTATTCCAGAGTTAACTGAGATTCTCACAAAGGCCTCAATCCTTCCCCTGATTATCTACAAATATCTCTCATAAATGTATTCCCCACTGAATGATCTATACATTAAACTATGCTTAGGCTTTATAAGTCATCTTCCTTAAAAGTTAAGCAAAACTGGTAGCTAGACCCTGAACTATCAAACAAGTCATCATAGATAATGTATGTAGTCTAACCACTCAGTGCATTATCACACTGTGACCCTTAAAGCCAAACTAATATAATAAAAGTAGGAGCTGCCAATCCCAAAAGGTCTTTACACAAAATTAAGAGATTTGTCCCAGTACTAAAGTGTCTAACTTTTTAACTTCAAGTCTACAGATGCCACTAAGCATAAAATGAGTTTTGGTTGCCTAGGGAATTTTCCAAGTTTGAAATAGACACTAATGACATACAAAATACTTTAAAATATATATTTAAGAATTATTTTGTATCATATGCCCACATACTGCAGCAACATAAGTTATGTATATTAACAACAACAACAAAAAACACCAGAAACAATAGCAGAGAAACAAAACTGAGTTAACAATTCACTAGGGTTTTTGGATAAATTGCTTGATGTTAGTAAGTATGGCATGGTAATTGAGAGTACAGACTTGGAATCAGTCTACCTGGACTGAAATCCCAACCTCTTTATTTACTAGGTAGGTGACTTTGATAAATTACTTTACTTCTCTATGGTTGTTTCCTCCTCAGTAGAATGGAGATAATTACAGTATCTGGTAGGATTGTTGCAGGACTGATGAGTTAAAATAGGTAAAGTGCTGAAAGAGTGCCTAGCACAAACACACAAGTATTAAACATCATTTATTATTAGTTTTAATGATGCATAAGAAGACAGAAGTATACCTTAGGTGGCTTATAAAAGTAAGCACAGTAAAGTCAAACAAGCTACTAATTACTTCATTGGGCATCAATTTCCTCATCTGTAATATAGGAAACCACTTTGAAAATGATGAGTTTAAGGGAAAATCTTTGGGCAGTATGTTTACAATGGTAGTAGGGAAAAATTCCATCTCTCTTCCAGTTTGGTAAAGGAAACTTTGTGGAGGAGGTACCTTTTAAGGAAGTATTCTAATAATGGGCAGATTAGGGAAAGGACACGCCTTGCAGATCTGTGCTGTTACAAGGTAAGTCTGACTCAAAAGCCCTTGCTTTACTCCTATGATTATCAACCTCTTTCATCTTATGACACACACAAACTAATTATTAAAATTCTGCAGCACACCAAAAAATCTATCTTTTCCTATATGACAAAAAATAGGTATAATTTTGATTCATTCACACCAGACGGCTGTGTTTGACAATCTAAAGGATAAGAGGTTAGTGCCCCTGACTAGCCTGGTATTGCATGTTTTAAAAATTCTGCAGCACATCAGGTGGGCACATGGATTGAAATCACTGCTTTCCTCTGTAGTTTGAAAGCTTAAAGTATAAATAGAACATCCTGAATTGTTTTAAAGTTTATTTTCTTTGTACAGGGTAGAAACACTAGCCGTTTGAATGCAGCAGAAATACATTAAAGGCACTGGCAGGGATTTGGGCCCCAGACCTGTTTTCAATTTTGAATGATTCATTTTTTTTGGAGGTAAAGAAGGGTGGTGTTGAAAGAAATGACATTTGTCTTGTATAATCAGGAGTGTCCCAATAGTTTTAAATCAATTCGATATGTTTATTTTTAGTTAGAAAAATCACTGCCTTCCAACAAACATTTCAAAATCATCAAGGACTGTGCACGCTGCACTTTATACTTATTAATATTTCACAATTTCCTGTAAATAAAAGTTGCAACATCAATCACACGTGAGGCAGGTGTTGGGCGCAGAACTGTTCCCACTACTTCCAAAAGGTACAAAAAAGAAAAAAAAACAGCCTTTCCTATCCACTCTGCTGAAAGCCTCCCCGGCAAAGTCCAGGAGGCGGGGTCTGGGTTCCGGGCCCGTCGCAAAAATGCCAGCATTCAGACAGTGCAAGAATAGGTAGGTCAAGTCGCCCCTCCACACTTTACAAAAAATCCCCAAGAATTCTTTTTATGCCTCAGAGCAAGACAGTCGCTGGGCCTCCTCCTCGTTATCCGCCAGGAAACTGGGTCTTGCCGTGTGTGACTTCGCGCCCATTCGGTCCTCCGGCGTCTCACCAGCCCAGCCCAGGAAAAGATTCCCACGTGGCGTCGCCAGCACGCCTCCCGCCGGCTCGCCCCGCCCCCATCAGAGTGGCGGCACTCTGATTGGCCAAGGGCGGCCGGAACTGCTCCCGAGAGACGGCGACTCCGCCAAATTGGGCGGGCACCGGCGAGAGGTTGCAGCCACGTGGGCAGCTCTCCGAAGAGCAAAACTTGCGCGTTTGCCCCACTCCGGCAGCGAAGACACTACCTAGCGCCGGGACCGTGCAATCACACAAAGGCTCTGGTTAGAGGCAGGCACCATCACCCTCTACCCTACGCAGGGTAGTGCTCACCTCAGCGCTTGAGGCGCCTCCAGCTTCAGCTTCTTGGGCTTCGGCTCCTGAGCAGCGGCCATCTTCGCGCTCCCACCACCTTAGGATCCTGCGTGCGCCCCACCCCTTCGGCCCTTTGGCCCCTCCCCCGGCTCATGTTACCGCCTCCGTCTTTACGAACCCCTCCCGGCCCGACTCCTCCCGGTTCTTGTCTCTCCCACCCACTGTCATTGGCTCTACGTCTCAGGCCCACCCATTAGCCAATACACAGCCCCTTCCTGACCCCGCCTCCCAGTATAGGGATACCCTTCTCCCCCTCCTGATTGCTTTTAGCCTGCGGTGGAGCGCCTGAGTCGAGATAACAAGAAACGGTCTCATTCTTTTAAATTCTGAGTGATCGGAAAGATTTGGATCCTAAATCTCAAAAGATGTATGTCTTCTCTTTCAATGTCTTCCTGCTTATTTAATCTTTCAAAATCTGTAGACCTAGTTGATTTCTTTGAAGCTGTTAGTCTGGCAATCTACCGGGCACTCCAACTGCGGGGTCCTCAAGGCCTTCTCAGCGGCCTCCGTCTCGGTTGGGAGAGGACCCGGCGCCGAACCTCTGACAGGCCCAGGTGTCGGGGTGAGTGTGACGGGGCGGGGGGGAGTCTGCGGTCTGGGGACAGCTCCAAAACTGGGGAGTAGGCTGAATATCCTGGACTGCGGGAGCATCTCCAGTGCTGTGGGTCGGGACTGCGCCTCGTTCCGGGCCTTCCGCGCTTTCTTGACAGCGGGGCCGGAAGGGAGAGGTGCACCTGCTGCCCTGTGTTCTCAGGCCCGAGAGGTTCAAGCTTGTTGGGGTCCCTCTCCGTCCTCTGGCGCAGGAAGAAGGTCTTAGCACCCACAGTGAGCTGGAGTACCGAAGACTTGGACCTCAGCCCCAGGCTTCTGCTTTGGAGAGCAAAACCCTTGACTGGCCTGAGCGCACGTCCTGTTATGTTAGAGGGTGGCGCCTGGATGAGCCTGGTGTGGGGAATACAGTGAGAAGGGTGTTGCAGCTGGAAGAGAGATGACAGGAATTCAAACTGAGGAGGTGGCAATGAGTATGGAAAAGTGATGAAGAATGTGGTTAGTTGGACTTGGTAGATTTGTATCGAACCCGAAGCCGAAACGTATAGCCTACATGATTAAGAAGGTGGTGCCAATGTAAAATTAGGAGACCTCACATGAGGAGGAAGAATTTTGTGGAACTTGAGATATACCGAGTTTGAAACAGTGGTGTAGGTGAAGACGATAAAAAGATAAAAAGAAAAAAGCATGGGAAGTAAACGGGAAGGAAACTTTCAAGGTGAGAACCGAAACAGAAGTTTCATATAATAGGGTAAGAAGTATTTGTTTTGTTGAGGGGAATGTTATTAAGATCATGAAATGCTGCAAGGGTCAAAGGAATAATTTGGAGTCTGAGAATAGGTTGTAGGATTTGATGATTAGGAAGTAATTGGGCCATTTGACAGAGCTGCTTTAATAAATTCCGTTACTGAAAGGAGAGCCTGCAGGTGTAGACTTAAGCCTTCATCATTTGGAGCATGAAGCAAAAGATTATTGAGGATGGCAAGGTTTCTAAAGTATGAGGTTTGTTTTTAGGAATACAAGACACATTATGCTTTGGTGCAGAAAGCACGTAAACAGTACAACATTAAAGATTCACAATTACAAGTAGAAGGATTAGTTTTGGAAAGAGAGGAGGACACTTTCACTTGAAACCATAGGAACAGTGGAGAAATAAGATAATGAAGAATTACTCAAAACTTACATATCTTTAGTAGGAAAGCTGTCTTAGGGTTTTTACAGTGTTTCTAAACATTCCATTGGAGTTTCCTGCAGACTAGATATTTTTAAGTTGCTCAATAGTATCTCAGTTCATGGGTCGCAAATGGTATTTGTAAAGAAGAGGAATTCTGTCTCCATCTAGAAATCACCTTCCTTCCTATTACACAGAGAAAATAAAAGCCATCATCTTCTGCAACCAAATATACAAACCTTCTTCTCTTTTGTTTAAAGAGGAAAAAGTGTCCCTTCTCTTAATGGAAAACAAATCTTTTCACCTAGTTGAAAAATACTGTCCATCCTCTTCTACCTTCCAGGGTCTACTTGTTTTCAGTTATTCTCTGAATAATGTCATCAGCCTTTCCCCGTCTGCCCACACCTTTTCTTTACAATTTAAAAATATTCTTCCTTGCCTTTATGAACTACACCCATTTATTTTCCTGGTTTTTTATATCCTTCAGAGCTAGTTCTTGAATGTATCATCTACTCTCCTTATCTCTGTTTTTCCCACTTCTTACTATTTGTTTCTGAGCCCACTGCAGTATATCTAGTTTCCAGCATTCTACTAAACTATCACTGAAACTGCTTTTACTAAGATCATCAATGTCCTCCGTGTGTTAAAATTACATGTTCTCAGTAGGGACAAAAACTGCCATTTGGAAGGCAAAAAAAAAAAAAAAAACAACAACTCTTTATATATAAAGCACAGATATATTTATAATACATAGAGAGGTATATAGATATATATTCTGTGGTACTGAAATTTTCTAGGGGAGTCTGAAAAGGTCCCATTAGCAGGTAATAATGAAAAGTTCAGAAACACTATTAAATCAACACATTTTAAGTTCTTGTAGCTTGAACTATTAGTGCCATTTAAAATGTTTAATACTCCATTCTTCTGAAAACACACTAACACACACTAATTACTGAAAACCATTACCCTCCCTGTTTCTTCTTATCTTTCAACCAAATCTTTTTTGAGGCATACTTCCTTGACCCAGCTGCTACTCAAATGTTGGGAGTTCCTTCCACAGGCTCTCTTCTATGCACACTCTCTCTTTGTAATTTTATTCTCCTTATAATTCCCATCAACAAAAAATCGTGATTACTTACACATCTCTCTCCAACTCAGCTTGTCTCTGAACCGTAGTCTTTTGAATATATGCATTTGGGTCAAATACAGTCAGAATTGGGTCAGATTATACAGAGCTAGGGTTAAATGCCTCATTTTTCCATCTCATACTCCCCTCTGCCTCCTCCCCAACTTTTGTTCAAACTGAAATATTTCTCTTATCTTTTCATTTTACTCCATCCCTGCTGTGAACATTCTAGTTCAGGTCACCACCATAACTCATCTCTCAACTGGGGTTACAATATCCAGCTTCCCTGTTACGCACTTCCCACAGTGCACATCTTTCCTAAAACTGTAAATGGGATTTCAGGAACCCCCTGTGTAAAATAATAAAAGTAATTTTATATTGCCCTGAGAACAAAGTGAACCAATCTCTGCTTATCTCCTCAAGTCGCATCTCACCATTTCCCTCCATCTTCTAACGTTGCTAAGTTTGTACTGGATTTCTTTGTCTTGTGTTCCCTGTCACCTCAAAGCCTTGCGAATTTTTATAGCACACTGTATTTCCCCTATCATAATAGGAATTACATCTTACTGCATTAAGTTTTTTGTGGAGTTTTGGGTTTTTTTGGAGGGAGGGGAGTTGTTTCTTTGTTTTTGCCTTTGTTGAACTCTTAATCACTGTGAGTTCAGGGACTCTATTTTGTTCACCCTATCCACTCGTTGCTTAATACATAAAACATCTTCAAAACTACTTGTTGAATGAATAAGTGGTCAAAATATTGGCTGAGAATCGGGTGAGCCAGATTATTTTCTGGTCTCATTCTCTCATCTTGAATATCCCTTTCTCGCCTCCCATTGCCTTCACTCTGTTATATATAGAAGGAATGCATTTTCTTTTTTATCTTCCAAGGATATTTTGACTTATAATTTCATTGCTTATGAATCATCAGGATGAGTGTATTCAACATTTGGTAAAGGGGATTTATTAAGTATTTAAGCTGCAGTCAAAGCTCTGATGGATCTGTGTCTGAAGACAGTTTCTCAAGGGGCTTTAAAATAACAGAGAATTCTGTTTGCTGACTCAAAAGTCACTAAGAACAAAAAGACAGCTGTGGTGGTGCTGAGTGTGTAGCTTTCCCAGTAAGTTTATTAAAATAATAAAAGAAATAATTGCAGCTACTAAAGGTTATGTAGCTAAAGAAACAGGCTGCATGTGGTATTTATTTGTTATATGCGTTAGGCCCTTGGTCATAATATGGATAGAAGAAATGAGCTCTCTTTTCCTGTAATAGAAGGTTAAGATGGGTTTTAAAGCTAAGCACTGATGAAAGCTACAGGTGTTATGCTTTCATCTCAGCACTAAGAATAAGAACAATAAATCCAGATGGCTGGTTTAACTTACTGTAGTCTTCTGAGACCTGAACTACTGCCAATGAAAACAAGTTTGGTGGAAACTTTTCCTGGAAAGAATTTTTCACCAGCTTAAAAAGATGAGTAGGAATCTGGCTCCTAAAAATAAAGAAACTACGAAGTCACTTGCTTAGAGAAAAGTAGCTCTTTTAGGGTATAATGTGGCGGTGCAGTACCACAGATATGTGGGAACTATTCCTTTATAAGATGCATGGTCAAAGAAGAGAACATATGTTACCTCTTTTAAATATAATTTCTGCTCTAAATAATTTATTAGAACACATTTTGGCTTCTAACTAAAGAAAAAGCATCCCCTTTAACTTCCTCTTAATTATAAGCTTCAAGAGCACATTTGCTCCCAGTTCAATATGGTAACCACTAATTACATAGAATTTAAATTAATTAAAATTAAAACTTCAGTACATAAGTTGCATTACCCACTTTTCAGGTGTTCAATAGCCATGTGATTAGTGGCCACTGTATTGGACAGGACAAGATAGAGGGCATGTCCATCATTGCAGGAAATCCTTGGGACAGTATTTCTTTGTGTTTCTGATAATTAATCTCTAAGAGGCAGGTAAGAACGGGAGCTCAGGATTCAGCTGAATCTGGGCTTGACTCCTAGCTCTGGTACTTAAGGTATGATGTTAGATAATTGACTTACCTTTTCTGACACTTTCTTGTCATATATGTAAAATAGGGGTAAAAGCAATATTTATAGCATTGAGTTGTGTAGATTACATGTGTTAACTATAGGTAAAATGCCTAGCATAATGTCTGGTCCACAGTAAGTACTCAGTATATTTGAGATATTATTAATTCACTTATCCTTAACCCTTTGAATGGAGTTATAAATTAATTTTTTCAAAGGATGCCACATTTAAAAGCTGGCTCACCTGAAGTGCTCAAATCTGGTTCTCATTGAGTTAGTTCATTACAATGTTCTGCTGTAAACCACATTGTATTTTAGGTGAAGATTTTATCTTAAGAAAAATTATCATAATACAGATTTAGTTGCAAATCTTACTGCTGGATATCCTGTTTCATCTAGGGAAAAAAAAGTATCAGCAGAGGTTATAAGGTCAGTTAAAGTTGTTAGGTTGATATAGCAAGTCTATGTATTCCAATGGCAGTATTTTAAACCCAAACAGAAATAAAAGGCTGACACAAAGCTAACCTACTAAACAAAGCATCTGACAAGGTAAAGTTGAAAATTTAACAGGTTTCAGGTATTATATTTTTATTGATTTTTATTGTACTTTTTTCTATTACCATTTAGTCCCTTTACACCCTCTTGTCCCCGGTTATCAACACACTGTTGTCCATGTCCATGAGTCCTTTTTCCTTTTTGCTCAATCCCTCCACCCACTAACTTCCCCTCCTTAGCTGTCATCCTGCTCTCTATGAGTAAAGTCCACAAATGAGTAAAATCTTACGGTACTTGTCTTTCTCTGACTGGTTTATTTCAGTTAGCATAATGTTCTCCAGGCCCATTCATACTGTCACAAAGGGTAAAGTTTTCATTTTTTACCTGGTTTTAGATATTAATCTGGAAAAATTTAGTAGGTCCAAAGCCTGAGGTATTGTGGTTTATTGCTGCCAGCCTGTGTTGATAAGCTAAACAGATATGGCTTTGAACAAAGAAACATTTATTGTTTCTAATAAGGAGGAACCCTAAACTGTTAAAAGCATTCATAACTTTATTAATATGATAATTATTAAAACACATCTTAGTAATTAGTATTATTAACTTGATAACTATTGAATATAGATAAAATAGGAAGGGAAAATCATCATCAGATGGTCTTTAAATGTCAGCTGCTCATAAAAAAAATGACTTCCTCTAAAAAGAACTGGTCGAGTTGATCTCATGTTTTTCTATGTAAACAGAATTGAATGAATCCATTTATAGAAATTCTTACTTTTCTCTTTGAAATTTATCTTCATTCATAGAAACTGTCTTCATAGTTTTTTAATTCTCTTTTCTTAGACTACACTTACCATACAGTGCTATAGTTTTAAATGAATGGACCATTATACTAAACACCTGATATTCATGTTATCCATATATAAGAAAGGAAAATGTTAAATAATTGAACTTTTCCCCAGTGTCTTTCTTTCATATTTCAATGTGGACCTTTTTATTTGAAGCGTAACTGACCCTCAGAAAAGGATACAACTCATAACAAAGTCCAATGAATTATCACAAAATTATCACAACTTGTAACCATCACCTAGATCAAGAAATAGAACATTATCAGCACCTTAGAACACCACCCCATGCCCTTCTCAGTTATGACCCCCGCTTTCCTCCATAAACCATTTGATTTTTCAAACATAGATTTGTTTTACCTGTTCTAGAACTTCATATAAATAAAATCATACTGTGTGTATTGTTTTGTGTCTGGTGTTCAATATTAAAGGATTTTTCCATATTTGTTTCATGTATCAATAGTTTATTCATTTTCACTGCTTTTATTTCATTTTCTAATACACTACAATTAATTTTCCCTTTGTACTATTAATAAACATTTGAGTTGTCACAGGTTTTCACTATTACAAATGTATGTTTTTGGTACATATTTGTACACATTTCTGTTTAATCCAGCTGGGAGGGGGTTAATGTGTCACAAGGTATTAAGAATACTCTTTTAAAATTGAGATGTAATTCACACATCATAAGGCTCACCATTTTAAAATGTATAATTTCATAGTTTTTAGTATATTCACAAAGTAGTATAACTGTCATCTCCATATACAGCAGAGTTTATCACCTCAAAAAAATAATGTCAAACCCATAACCAGTAACTCCCTATTCCTCCCCCTCCACCCAGCCCCTGGCAGGTACTAATCTACTTTCTGTCTCTCTGGATTTGCCGATTCTGGACATTTCATATAAATGTATTCATACAATAAGTGACCTTTTATGTTTGGCTTTTTTTCCTCAGCATAATGTTTTCAAGCATATTAGTACTTCATTCCTTTTTATGGCCAAATAATATTCCATTGTTTGTATATTTATTATTTATCCATTCATCAGTTGATAAGCATTTGAGTTGTTTCCACTCTTTGATACTTATGAATAATGCTGCTAGAAAACATGTGTGGAAATGTTTCCAGTCCTCATGATACATACCTAGCAGTAGAATTGCTAAGTCATTTGGTAATTCTGTCTTTAACTGTTTGAAGAACAAACTGTTCTACATCAGCTGTACCATTTTACATTCTTACCAGCAGTGTATGAGGGTTCCTTTTTTGCTAATGTCCTTTGAAGCACAAAAGTTTCTGATAAAAGTCTAGGTAATCTGTTTTTTCTTTCGTTGCTTGTTCTTTTGGTGTCATATCTAAAAAACATTGTCTTATCAGGGTCATGAAGACTTATGCATATGTTTTTTTCAAAGCATTTTATAGTTTTACCTCTTATATTTGGGACTTTGGTACATTTTGTGTTAACTTTTGCATATTGTGAGGTAGAAGTCGACTTCATTTTTCATATATGACAGTCCAGCTGTCACAGCATCATTTGTTAAAAAGACTATTCTCTCCTCTAGTTGAATGGCTTTGGCACTGCTGTAAAAAATTAATTGACCATATATGTAAGGGCTAATTTCAAAACTCCCAATTCTATTCCATTGGCCTATACTCTGTCCTCGTGCCAGTACATAGTACATTTGTAGTAAGTTTTGAAATCAGGAAGTATGACCCCTCCAAATTTGTTCTTCTTTTTCAAGATTGTTTTAGCTCCTCTTGGTCTCTTTCATTTCCTTATGAATTTTAGGATCAGACTGTCAGTTTCCACAAAAAAAGGAAGGCATTTTAATAAGGATTGCATTGAATCTGTAGATCAGTTTGGGGAGTAATGCCTTCGTAACAATATTACATTATAGTCCATAAACATGAATTGTCTTTCCATTTTTTAGGTCTTTTTAATTTCAACAATATTTTATAGTATTCAGTGTACAAGTCTTGTACTTTTTTTGTTCAATTTAATCCTCAGTATTTTGATCTTTTTGATGCTCTTCTAAACAGAATTTCCTCAATTTTATTTTTAGATTATTCATTGCTACTATGTAGCAGCACAATTGATTTTTAATATTACTATTGTATCCTGTAACCTTGCTGAACTCATTTATTAGCGCTCTGTGTGTGTGTGTGTGTGTGTGTGTGTGTGTGTGTGTTAGATTTACTTCTTTTCCAATTTGGAAGCCTTTGGTTTCATTTTTCTTGCTTAATTGCCCTGGCCAGAACCTCCAGTATAATTTTGATTGGAAGTGGTAAGAGTGAACATTATTGCTTGTTCTCGATACTAAAGGGAAAGCTTTTAATCTTTAACCATTAAATATGACATTAGCTATGGAATTTTCCTAGGTACTTTTTTCAGGTTGAAGAAGTTCCTTTTTGTTACTAGTTTGTTAAGTGTTTTTATCATTAAAGTGTTGGGTTTTGCCAAGTGATTTCCTGTACTTTTTGAAATGATTATATTTTTGTCTTTTATGAATACTGTATATTAAATTAATTTTCATATGTTGAACCACCTGTGCACTCTTGGAATAAATACTGCTTGGTCAGGGATATTGCTGGATTCAGTTGCTAGTATTTTGTTTAGAAATCTTGTTTCTATATTCTTAAATGATAATGGTCTGTAGTTTCTTATATTGCCTTTTCTGGTTTTGGTGTCGGGATGATACAAGGATATTTTTGATGTATACTAAATTTAAACTTTTTTTCCCACCAGAAAATGATCCACAGTCTATTTCTCATAAATTGTTCCGGTGACATATTTCTAGAGAAGCACTGGAAGAGTGTTGTGAGTCAGTCTGTCTGTGATTATTTCTTTGAAGCTCAAGAGAAAGCTGCTGATGTTGAAAATGTACCACCTGTCATTTCAACACCTCACCACTACCTCATCAGTATCTACAGGGATAAGCTCTTCTTCGTGTCTGTCATACAGACTGAAGTGCCACCTCTCTTTGTAATTGAGTTCCTGCATCGAGTTGCTGACACATTTCAGGTTGGTTATCCATCATATCTTTTGCACTTTAATTACCCAAGTTAGTTGGAGGTCGGACACATTATTGTATTTTTTAAATACCCAGCTTTTGATGTGTTGTCTGTCCTACTGCATCTCTCTCTCTTCTTTTCAACTAAGCATTAAGTTCATAAACACCTTTATGCAGGGTATACAGTAGCACACGTGACTGTTCCATTTACTGTTTTAGGAAAAAGAGCAATCTCATGGGCATTATAGCCTTTTTTTTTACATTTATTACAAATTATGTCATTACGAAACAACTGTGCTTTCCACATATACAACTCTGAGGAGTCCCAAGATTTGTATTGGTCATGAAATCTTCTAATGTTCACATTTTATTATTTTCTCTTGTTTTGTTAAATGTGCCAAATAATTTAAAATTAATCTGTGTGTTTTGGGGTACCTAATTAGTACAAAGAAAGTTTATAGTTCATTAATGTTTCAATATATTTTCTGGCATAATATGTAAATAGGAATTCAATCTAAAAAAAACCAAGAGAATATTGAGGAATGGTATATAGAATTATTGAGGAATTTTTTTCCCTGTGTTTTACATTAATTGAATTATGCAACTGTAAGTTTATCCTTCAGAACAGAAAGTATTTAGCAAGCCTTTCTTCATTTTCCATTGTGCAATGTTATATACATTTTGTTAGGACTACTTTGGTGAGTGTTCAGAGGCTGCAATTAAGGATAATGTGGTCATAGTATATGAGCTTTTGGAAGAAATGTTAGACAATGGATTTCCACTGGCTACTGAATCTAACATTTTGAAAGAACTGATTAAACCACCAACAATTCTACGTTCTGTCGTCAACTCTATTACAGGTAAGGTGAAAACATACTTTATTAGAAATTGAACAATTAAAACTTTGTGGACAACTCAACACCATTTCTTATGATCTAGCAGATTCTTAAGATAGTCCAGTTTGGACAGAATTAAAGTTAGTGATAATTTTTAAATGGATGTATATTTCTTTTCATGGAAAGAGGCTGGGTCTTAAATAATAAAGAACTTTTTGATTATTACTCTTTGTATAGGTTTTTCTACAAAACCACAATAACATTATTACTGTTATTTAACACTAAATAATAAGACCGAATAAATGATCCCAGTTAGTCTTAAAGTAGCCAATATCATGATGGATGTTAACTAAACTTATTGTGGTAATCATTTTGCAATATATACATAAATCACTACATTGTATACCTTAAATTTAACACAATGTTATGTGTCAGTTGTAACTCAATAAAGCTGGGAAAAATAAAAATTAAAAAAAGTACTATAAAACTAGCATTATGCTGCTACCCTATAATTGCTAGAGTATAGAAAATTTAAGACTCCACCACAGAGTACATACTATCTCCTCCAACCTTTGTTTTGTATATGCAAAAGATGTTATTTTAAAAAAAAGAAACAGGACCTTAGTCTATTTAAAAGAACTCATGCATTGTGGTCTTTTACTTGTGTTATAAGCTTCCAATTTTTGTTTAATTTTTCAGTAGTACTAGAAATTAGGTACACCAGAAGACAATATTCTTTTGAAAATTTAAGGCCTTCTAGAGAACGATTTCTATGAAATGTTATATGCCATTCCAGCTATACCATCCACCATTGTAAATGCTTCTCCAAGTGCACTGATCTTAAAAAAAAAAAAAAAAATGGGAAGTGAGAGGCCTATAAGAAATGATCATTCCATAGCTCATATTCATCCTCTATACAAGACTGAGTTGTCAGAAGTTCAAGGAAGATAAGATAGAGTATCTGTGCTTCTTCCTAAAACTTACACTGTAGATGGGAGACTGGAAAAAAATTAAATCATTTTTTTATTTACTTATTTTTAAAGGGGAAGTGGGGGAAGAAAGAGAGGGAGAGAAACATCAATGTGTGGTTGCCTCTCGCATACCCACCAGTGGAGACCTGGCCCGCAACCCAGGCATGTGCCCTGACCAAGAATCAAACCAGAAACCCCTTGGTTTGCAGGCTGGCTGGTGCTCAGTCCACTGAGCCACACCAGCCAGGGCGAGGGGAAATTAAAATACATAAGTAACAGTGTAAGCTTTTTAAAAGCAATTTCACACTTTATAGTGAGTGTAGTCACACTGAAAAGTGTTGTTATTGTTAAGTGTATACTACTTTTGAATTGTAACTAACCAAAATGGTAACTATTTCACAGTTCAAGGATATATGTTTAGGACAACTGATTTATTTTCAGACCTATGTCAGTTTACCAGGAAATTAGCCAGATATGTAACATTAGCTACATTGCAGCCAGATGGGTATGCTGACCTTAAAATGGAAAAAGTCCAGAGTATGTTCTTCATTCCAGTTACTCCACTGAGGCCTGCTTGGCAGCATCTCATGTAGAATCTAAGCTGAATACCAAAGGACCTAGTTATCAGTCTGTATTCTCAGTGGAGGCATTTTATCGGCAGAAGGTTTTGAAACAACCAGCCTCTTTTTTCATCAATGGCAGCAAGATGAGATTCTGTTGTTGAGCCACTGGAATTAGGTTAGGTTACTGTTAACACACAGGAAGCAAAAGATAAGTAAATGAATTTAACCTGGCTTGGCAGATAGAGGGCCACATGGCCTATTTCTGTCTTCTAGAAATTTGATCATGTTGGTATGGATATGTCTCCAACAACTCTGGAAAGCATCCACAACCTCAATGAAGAAAGACCCAAACATTAAAGAAGCAGCTAAAACATTCATTTATTTTCTGGTAATAGCTTTTCTGATGACCATTTTATACATTAGCTTTGCTTTCTCCTTTTTCGGTTTCTAGGCAGTAGTAACGTTGGGGACACACTCCCCACTGGGCAGCTGTCCAACATCCCTTGGCGCCGGGCAGGGGTAAAGTACACAAATAATGAAGCCTATTTTGATGTCGTTGAAGAAATAGATGCAATTATAGATAAATCAGGTAATTGTGCTCATGTGGTCTTATTTGGGAAAAAAGAGTTTGGCTGACATAAACTGAATAGAAAATTGAAATCCCTTGGCAGAGTGGTTTCAGTGGAAAGGCATTTGTTTTGTAATCGTTTAAAAATCTGTTTATTTTTCCTAGAGATTAAATGTAATTTTCACAAACACTAGTTGAGATCGGCCAAATCTTTGTAAATCAAATTTTATGTTGTCTTACATTAAGCCAATTATTACCCTGTACACCTCTTCCTCTTGCCATTTGTTCATTCTAACAGTTATTGTATACCTACAATCAGCATATTTTTGCTACCACTTTTTGTGCAGTACTTCTAATAAAGACCCCAGTCAAAACAACAGTACTCTATTAGAATCATAAAAAAAGTTTTTAAACTTCTAGTCTAACCCCTCACATTTTATACATAAAGAAGCTAAAGTTCAGAAAGGTTAAGTTATTTACCCAAGGGAACACAGTTGGTGTGAAACTGAGTTATTGTGATTATAGCCAGTATCTTTTCTTCCATGAGCGCCTTTTTCATTATAAAATTCCATTGTACAGAATAATTGTTCCTATTTCTTAAAAGTTAACAGGTAGCTTAGTCAATTTCATGAGAAACTTGCCCTATTTTAAAATTCAGTTAAAAATATTTTAACTTCATTTTCAGCAGTCTTACAATTTTGACTCTATAGAGATATAAACTGGTTTGATTTTCCTTAGAATTATCATATTCCAAACTGGGTTAGGTACACAGGCCATGGCACTAAGTGAAGAAGCTGAGTGTAATGGATCTCGATCCACTGACCTGTTAACAGATGTGCAAAGCTTCAGTAGGTCTGACACCCAGGAGGTATCTCCATTACTTCAGATAGAGTGATAGCTCTAGTAAATACACAGATTCCAATGATGTTATCACCCTTTTTTCTTTCTTTAGGATCTACAGTCTTTGCAGAAATTCAGGGGGTCATCGATGCTTGCATTAAGTTATCCGGAATGCCTGACCTTTCCCTTTCTTTCATGGTAGGTTCTGTCCTGTAGCTCCTTGCATGGCTTAATACATATGAAATACTAAATGAAAAGATAAATAATGAGATACTTTTATATCTTAGATTGCAAAAGAGTATCTCAGAAATATTCCTAGCACAGGTTACCAAGATACTAGCTTACATGGTAAGCATGGCCTTTATGGAAAAGTTAAGACAGGTCTTTGCCTAGGTGTACTAGAAGTAGCACAAATGGCTGGCTGGCTTCTGCAAATCTGCAGCGTTAATTTGACTGAATTATTATTTGTTTTGCTGACATGAAAAGGAATTATCTTTTGCATGATTTTAGAGTTGGCATGACACACTACAAAGGACAATCAAGAAAACTGAGTTCTGGTTCTTTCCTCCCGCCAATTTGTCCTGACCTTGAGTTCTTTGAACCTTAGATTTTTCATCTCTGAAATGGAAATGATACTACTTGCATTTTCTACTTGTTATCAAAATTCTAGTAAAGTAGTGTATATAAAATATTTGCAAACTTTAAATCATTGCGAAACTATGCTTATCAAGGGGTCAAAATAAACCCTTACATGACCACTTTTATCTTTAGGGGACATACTAATTTCTCATAATATCTAAGTTGAGTTGTTAGGTTTATAATGCTCTATGAATATGGCTTTGTTTTGTTTTCCTGGCAGAACCCAAGGCTTCTAGATGATGTCAGCTTCCACCCCTGCATCCGGTTCAAGCGTTGGGAATCTGAAAGAGTCTTGTCATTTATTCCTCCAGATGGAAATTTCCGACTCATATCATATCGTGTCAGCTCACAAAAGTATGTTGATGCATCAACCAGTTACTGCCATCATATATCAAAGCACTGGGTAGAACTAACTTTTCTGTTTCATTCTGACAATTGGATACTTGAATTCACCATTGCTGCCTTTAGCCTTGGTTCACCAGGAGACCCAAGAAGAACTGGTGAACATTTCTAATCAGTGTACCTTGAATCTAAGATTATAGAGTAGTAGTAAATTAGATTGGAGTAAAATATGTACCAGAGAGCAAGTGTTTAGAACTATAACTTGGGCAAAACCATGAACCTGTGCCATAATTTTATTATGGTCTATAGACTTTAGGGCTGACAGAAGGACACAGACCTTCCTGTAGCTCCCCAGGACATTCCCCAACTAACTGGCTTCAACTCACTGTTCTCTGCACTGATGTTTAAATGAATGACTTAGTGTTGTATGTTGTAACTGGTTCATCCCTTGAAAATATCAGTTGTTTAGGTAACATCAGGACAGGACTCAAAAGCAGAGGTTTGAAATGTTGCTTAGCACTTACTACATAGGAACTGCCTTATTTACTTTGCATAATTTTAAATTATCTTTTCTCCTTTTTCTGTGGATCTTAATTCATTTCTTTAAACTAGGGCTATTTGCTACAATTGTTTATACTATAATTAAGCTTCAGATTTCTACCTTGATCTGTATACTTATTTCTCAGAAATGCTATTATTCCTGGTGCTCTACTCACCATGTCCCCACCCCCAGTGCAAATGCAGAATCTGCACTTCTAGGGGTTTAGGGTTTTATATTGAACTAAGAGGCAGAGTAGGATACTCTGGACTGAGGTTTCGAGGTCACTTCCTGAGCTGTCTCATATCATTAATTGTGTGTTTGTGCTTTTGTGTCTTTATCTTTTTAGTCTAGTGGCAATACCAGTGTATGTGAAACATAGCATCAGCTTTAAGGAGAACAGTTCTTGTGGCAGATTTGATATTACAATTGGACCAAAGCAGAATATGGGGAAAACTATTGAAGGAATCACAGTGACAGTTCACATGCCAAAAGTTGTGCTGAATATGAACCTGACACCAACACAAGGCAGCTATACATTTGATCCAGTTACCAAGGTATAGCCACATCAAATCAAGAGTGAGCAAGTGTGTCTGCAACCTTTATGTTGTGATTTGGGGCAAGGGGTAGAGGGAAGGTTTTAGTGTCTTGGTTAAAACAGAAGTTCTTGACGTAATCCTAGAGAGCACACTTTGCTGTGCTTTTGCCAGTGGCCATGGAGGGATACTGCACCTGCTGCTGAGGGGGAGGAACAGAAGAGAGACTCCTTCTATGCCCCTCCAGAGTTTGCACACCTTTACTCCTCCGCTGATAATCCAGGACTCTCATTCTCTAATGAGGAAGAAAGTATAAAAGCTTTTTATGAAGAGAAAAACATTGTGTGGATATAAGGAGATACTATAGTCTATTGTTAAATCCTCTGTAGAAATTGATCATTAAGATCTTTCTCTTCCTTTTTAATTTAAAAGCAATATTTTATACTTTTCCACAGGGGGTGTTAGCTAGGAAAGCAGCTTCCTCACTATACCTAAATGTGCCCCTAGCAGAAGATTTTCAGAGAAACTGTGAAAGATTATTTTCTCTCAGCTTGCTACTTGGGTCAAAAATATTCTTTTCATCAGCAGAGTCATTGAACTGCCTGGTAAATGAAAAGGCGTATTTTTAAATAAAATCATAGAATGTTAAAATCACCTGATCCACACCTGAGGATTCAAAGAACCTCCCCAGAGACCACACAGGGCTGAGAAGTAAAGGGGAGCCTCAGATCCCTGGCCCTTCACTCCAGCTTCACTTTCTCATCTATTATTGAGTTCCATACTAAAGATTTCATTTGAACAAAGGGTTCCATAACTAAAAGGTTAAAGATAGCAATTTAGGTCAGTCTTCTCATTTTACAGAAAAATAAACTCAGGCTCAGACAAAAACAGTGAAGGTGGAATGGTGGACAGAACATTGAAATCGGAGAGGCTTAGGTTCAAATTTTAACCTTGTCACAAACTAGCAGAGTGATCTTAAGCAAGTCATTTGACCTCTGAGCCTTAATTTCCTCATTTGTAAAAAGAACATAAAATCTACATCACAGGCTTCTCAGGTAGTAGTAGCACAGTGCTGTAACTGTATCCAAAAGTAAATGTTCACCTAATACTGGCTCTCTACTGACTCTCCATTCAAAGTCACAGAACTAACTAGTGGTCAACTCAGTGAAGATCCTAGGTCTCTTGTTTCTAAGACACTGTGCCTAATCTTGTACAAAAGTTTATGGTGTCTTTTAACCTTGTCTTTGACCATTTTATTAAATGGTTCAGATTGGTTTTTCTTTTTCATGTCTTTTTAAGGTACTGACATGGGATGTGGGAAAAATTACTCCACAAAAGCTCCCAAGTCTTAAAGGACTGGTAAATTTACAATCGGGAGCACCCAAGCCAGAGGAGAATCCAAGCCTCAACATACAGTTCAAGATCCAGCAGCTTGCTATTTCAGGTAAGGACAAACTTGACTTGCGTTTAAGGGCAATTGAGTTCTGCTGAGTTCAACTACTGACTACAAGGAGCTTGGAAGGCTGGTAATATCCCCTCTCTAGAAAGAGCAACAGCTCCCATTTGCCCTTTACCCCAACCCTGATTAAAGCACCAAAGGAGTCATTTTTTCAGAAAATATAATTACCCTTAAAAGATACTCCTTGCCCACATGAGAATGAGAATCTGAACTAAAATCATACCCCAACAATGCTGTAGTTTGTGGATGCTAGAAGGGACGTTGTTTCCAGCTGGTGGAAGGGACACTGGTCAATGTGAGATTTACTGTGTAATGCTCAGTGTTAAACAAACATATTGGTTGGTATGACCAGGATAATAATATCTTCTCTTCCTTGCCTATTCGTTTTGACACAGGCTTAAAAGTAAACCGCCTGGACATGTATGGGGAGAAATATAAGCCATTTAAAGGAGTCAAATATGTAACAAAAGCTGGAAAATTCCAAGTGAGGACATGAGAAGAGGCCAAAATTCCTCAAGATCTGTTTGTTTTCTAAGTGTCATTATAGTTTATTACTATTAGGTACAAAGTGGGTGGGATAAAAGCATTTGTGTGGAGCTACACACCGCTAACAAAGTTGCTTAGTAATCAATGTAGGGGTCTCAAGGCGCTTCTTAAGCTAAGGTAACTTTTGAATAACTTAGCTTATTTTGTATCTTTTCAATTAGAAAACTTTGAAGATCTCCACAGGGTGGGCACCAGCTGGAGGTTGCACATTGTAATAGTAAAGGCAGAAGGCTACAGTCATAACCTCTCCTAAAACAAGTGACCTGATCTCAGCCAGCAGCTGTCTTAATCTGTAATGTGATGTGTCAAGTGCAGCCAAATATCACACCTAATCTTAGCCATCCCAAATCAGCATATGTCCCAACAGGAAATTCCCACCACCCCCAAGAAGTTTACAAAAAACCTGCCTCTTCAAGTGTTTGCCTTATTCAGCTTTTCACATGTGCCATTAAGCAAGCACTGTAGCAAAAGCCACTTCCACATGGCCCTGGCAGGGAGCACTGCTGCTCCATGCTCCATGCTCCATTCTCACTGTACTTGGTATTGTATTTTTTATAAATAAGATTTTTATGTAAAGTTCAGATTTTGATTTAGAGGGACCATGCTGCAATAAGTACCATCTCAGTTTTGCACCATTGGTTCGGCTGTTAGCACAGGAAAAATCATTGGTATCAAAGGGGCAAATGCTTTATTAAGATAATATAAGGGAACACTACTGCTTTTCGGAAGTTATTGCAAGCTGTCTGAGATTTTAAATAAAGTAGTAAAAGAAGAATGTAAATGAACCTTTACCATCTTCATGTTTTTTAAAGCTTATCCAACACCAATTAAACCATAGATAGCCTAAAGGCCTCATGCTGTATAGTTCAACAAAAGGAAGAAAATATGCCTGTCCCACTATCATCTTTTATCCTTTTTTTAAAACTTTTTAAATTGAATTTATTGGGGTGACATTGTTTAATAAAGTATATAGGTTTCAGGTATACAATTCTATAACATCATGTGTATATTGTATTGTGTGCTCACCACCCCAAGTCAAGTTTCCTTCCATCACCATTTATTCCCCCTGTACCCTCTTGTATCTCCCCCTACCCTCCTTTCCCTCTGGTAATCACCATACTGTTGTCTGTGTCTGTATATTCTTGTTCTCAAGGGCTTGAATTTGCCTATATCACTTGTCTTCAAGGGGAACTCCCTTTTCATATTGTGTGCTTCTCAAAACTATACTCAATAGATTCCTTCCCAAAACTATTATTGTAATTGTCACTGGAGTACCTAAATGTCTCTACTGCACTTACAAAGTACATAGAAGTACATTATAGTGAGTCAGAAACATAATGCTCAGTAACACTGTTGAAACCGTGTGGTCATCCTGGTTGGCTGTCAGTCTAGAGTTGTAGTTCACTCAACTTCATTGGCCTAGAAATTGTTTTGTCCAGTTATTTTGCCTTATTAGACATAATGAATGGGGAAAGGCTAAAAGTTAAGATAGAAATGCTTGTTCTTGTTTCCTTCTTGTTCTTATTTATGCTATTAGGTTTCTTCTCCTTATAACTCCATTTTCATTCTTCTCAGCTTTTAACTTCCTTTCCTGTGTGTAAAAGATAGGCTTCACACTCAACCCATTCTTCCGGCAAGAACTAGTGGTTGGTGTTGGTACAGGAAGCCCCGTGTGGAGCAGCATTCTGGCCTGTGGCTGGCTAGGGCACCCCGCCTGCCTTTCATCTATTGGAAAGGTCACCCTCTGCAACTTTGAAATTTCTAGGGTAACCAATATCAGCTTGGCATCTAAAATCAAGGTATTGCCAAATATTTATTCCCTTTGCTTAAGGTTAGTTACCCGATTCAACTTTTTTTAATGTTTTACAGTGTTCATACCTCAAAAGAACAATCAGTACATTTGCTTTTCTTTTTGCCTAATTCCTAATCAGCCATCTGTACTCACACTGTCCACTTTTCTTTGTGTGTTGTCTTCTCTCTTATATACAAGCAGATTGTATGCCAAGAGTCCCTTGCCCCTAAGCAATTCCTGCAAAAACTTTCAAGTAGACTATTTCCTTTTACAATTAAATTATTGTATTTATTGATTTGATTGAACCCAGTAAACCCTTTCTCTAGCTCTGGCTATACTGTCAATAAAAAGATGAAAGCAACAAGTTGATTTTTTAGCTCGACTGTTAATTGAGTGTCCTCAAATAGGTATGCCTTGTGTCAGAGCAAGCGCAACATGATCAGATTTTGTTCTGTATTATACAAGGTTTGAAGGTTGCTACCACACACTTCCAAGTGCTTCTCTCTTCACCTCAGTATGTTAACAGTCATGTATACATTCTCTAACCATCACTCTTTGGCCACAGACCGATCAAAGTTTCCTCTCCCTTAATAACAAAGATTCATTCATATTCTGGAGTATTGGGATATTTTTCAAGCACCGAATTCTAGCTAATCCCAGGATGGCCCTGTTTTCTGAATTCTTAAAGGGGTGTATCTCAAGAGCAAATGAAGTATATGCTCATTTTCTGTGTAAGGCAGTCACCATCATTTTATTTAAAGGGACTTCATGTGATGGTTTATTCCTTAAGTGGTGCTAGAGAAGAGCTTTTGGAAGATGCTTGTCATATTGTCCTCAGAGTCACCTGATTTGAGACAATGACTAACCTATAATACAGCAGGAAGGCAGCACCAGTCAACATAGGGTGAACTGTAAAAATGAGACCATGAACACTATTTTCACATACTGCTGAGCAAATTCAGTTGCTTTGGACATTTCCCTTAACTCAAGCAGGCTGGAATCTTGCTCCCTACTCAATAACTTTTCTAAGTTAAAGGAACACTAACTGTAGCCTTTTAGTGATATTTACCCCTTTCACACCTAGAAAAATCAGGCAAAAACAGTGATTGCCCAGCTGTACTCCAAGAACCTGCTCATGCTCTTTTAGTCAGTGCTTCCTCCAACAAGAGAATATGCCTCACAGCCCTGGTAGAGCCCTGAAAACCCTCTTGTGCTATTCTGGGCTTTGGAATATGACAAACATAGCTGCACATGTAACAGCGTCAGCCTCTTCAGGGATGGTGATAGTCTCTGTGAATAGCTAGAACCATCTACAATGATGACAAACTACTTCAACCAGAGGATCATACACATCACCTGGCTGCTTCCCTCCTTTTTTGTTCCTAGTATATAACCCCCAAAGTTGTCATTTATTACACAGGTCTTTGTTATGTAAACATAGTGCTGGTTTCTTCTACTTCCAGTACAACTTTGTATTAAATATAAGAGCTAGTTTCCAGATCTTGAGGATGAGTTTCATTGGCTATTTTTCAAAACAAGGGAGAAACCTGATCTAAAAGTTTCTGCTAAAATAAGATGCCCATCATTTAAAGCATTATTTATACAAATGCACTTTATTGTTTTAAACAGAACAAAAGAAGAGGCAGAAAATATTTGCATATAACAAATCCTAGCTTATAAATGTAGTTTTTTTTAGTGGTGGTGTGTCTAATCATCATTCAGGGATTTTTTTTTTTTTTTTTAATTTGCTTCACTGGATCTTAAGCACTGATATTAGAGAAAAGCACATCGGCATAAAGTGTAAAACCAGTGTCTTAAAACACTGGAAGAACTTGAAGAACAAACATGATTTTTCTTATTTCCTCAATCTTTAGTAAAACAAAAGGTGATCTTTGGCATAGACTCATACTTTAAAGGCATTAATATTGCATTTATATTAGGTAAGCAACTATACAAATATGCTGAGGGCCTTGAAAATCATCAGTTAAAAGAAAATAAAGGAAGCCTGAGTGTACAGTACCAACTTAAGACAAGTTTACACATTTCATGTTGGGATCTAACATGTTAGAGGTGGGAAGGAAGGACATTCGAGCAAGGGTTCTTACTCATCCTGTTCTGGCTTTGGGAAAAAATGTGGTTTCATGTGCTGGGGAATGCTTAAAGAGCAGTGGTAAGTGCAAAAAAGGAAAAACTCCTCTCTCATTTTGCTAACAGGGAACTTGTGATGATTAACAGTAGTACTAGGGAGGGGAAGAGGATGCGGGGGGGTTGGTTGTAGTTTGTTGAGGGAGGTAGGAATTACTGAGGCCTATTTCCCATTGATTCATCCCCAACAGTGCCAGAATTCCAGTCTGCAAGGACCACTCTCCCTTGGGTAGAAAGTGTCCTTCAGAGAGGACTCTTTCCATTAAACACTCTTGGGGGGCAAGCACCAATTCTTAGGGCTGAATTTCAAAAGGATAAACAGGATCTTTCAAAATTACAAATGAACAAACATATATATCTTTTAAAATCTTGTTTAGGAAGGGTGTGGGGCAAGAATATAAAAATCAGGATAGGAGACATGATTTGGTTAAAAAGTAAATGCAGCATTTCAGCTCAGAAAGATAAGAAAGAGTTAAGAATGAATGATAAGGCCTCAGCACAAACCTCTGCAGGCAGTGACAAAGCATGAAGCTCCTGAGAGTGGCCCTGCTGGGACGATGGGCAGGGCCACGCCCAGGCAACTCTGCCCCTCCAGTGACAGAGAGCACCAGGACACACAGTGTGTTCATGGGATGGCTACCTCAGCAGGCCAAGGCGGGACATGGGACAAGAAGTTTCCCTAGCACAGACATTGCTCAGGGACGCGGTAAAGGCAGAATCATGTGATTCTGTCATTTGATTTTATACTGTGAGAAACTAGGATTAAACTGGGGATGGGTAGGATGTGAATCCAGGACCCATATACTAGGGCCAACTTCCCCTACGGCAGCAAAGCTCACTTCTGAAAGCGTCCCAGGTAGCAGAGCCAGGGAAGACAGGCATGGTCAGCAGCAACATGGAAAGCCCAAAACAAATGTTGGAGGCACAGTGATTCCTTCTTAACTGACTTGCCTGGGCCTCGGGTCTTAGGAGCCTGGTGGGGAGAATGTAAGGGGGTGGCTATGGAGGGGGGAGCTGGGAGGGGAGAAGGAAGCAGAGAGGGAAGTATCCACTAGGGAACAAGGGCAGAGCAGGGTGTCTGGCTAGTGTTCACTCTTGGATTCTGAGTTTATGTGAAGTCCGTGGGCTAGAAACCCAGTCTGCCTATTTGGAGAGTGTGCAGGAGTATAGCTGTGTTTGAGAATACAGACACATTTCAAAGTGTCCATGACAAAAGTATAAATGTTTCCTAACGTGAAGAGGCCCCATTCCTTCCTGTTATATCAGGCCAGGATGTGGCTTTCAACCTCCTGGCAATTCTGGGTGGCCCCTGGAACTCAATAATTTCCATTCTGTTTAGCAGGGGTTTCTGTGCCAGCCAGGTTCAGTCAGGTGCCTACTGGTACCAGGGAGTCTTTCTAACCCAGCGCAGTGTAAATCCAGCATCTGTTCGAATTTTGATTGAAGCTGCTTCTGCTTCTCGGACAGTCTCCTTCACAGACTGCATGAGGTTCTGGGCATTGTGAACGAGCATCTCTGTAGCCTGCAAGGAAAGAGGAGCTCTCCATTACCTGGTTCCTGATGCAGCAGCCCTGCCTCCGAAACTGGCAGTTTCCCTTACCTGCACCTGGTACCCCTGTCCTTGTCACCTAACTGGTGGCTGAGCTGAATCATCAAAGAACGCAAAACTGGCCCATCACTGATTGTATACTATACCTTCAAAAGGCCTCTAGTGTATACTCTTTCCTGATCTTCAAAAAGCTCCCGCCTCTGGCTCTGGCTGTTCCCTCTGCCTGAAATGCTCTTCTCCCAGGTCTCCCCTGACTCGCCCCTCAGCTCCTGCAGGTCTCCCCTCATTTGTCACCCCGGTGAGGCTTTCCCGCTCACTTCATTTTATTTTTCCCCCTGCTCACTTTATTTCAAACCACCTTCCCAACTCCCAACACTCCTCATCCTCCAATTCTTTCCTCATTTTTCTCCACAGAACCCATTATCACTAACTGATGTACTATATGTTTTACCAAGGTGGTTTTATCTAAAACTTAGGTCCCATGAGGGCAGAGATCTGTGTCACAGTTTCCTTCACAGTTGTATCTGTGTGTTATGACAGTGCCTAGCACATATGAGGTATTTCATAATTAATTAATTAATTAAAAACAATTAAATGAACAAACCAACCAATCCATGAAAATGTAGTTAAGTAAATCTTGTAAACACACAAACTCACAGGACTGGGATCACACTGGGTACTCTACCATAGCAAATCAGGGAACTTATCACTCCATTAGCCCAGTAATTCTTTTTTCTTTTTTTAATACTTAACTACTTTTGA